GAAATCCAGCATTGTACTAACATCAGTAGAAAAATCTACACTAAATTTTCAGACTCTGGATACATCTACTTTTAACAAGTAAAAAATTCTCTGCTTTTCCCTCAAAACAATACTCCAATCATTTTTCCCTCTTAACTAAACATGCACAAACTTCAGTTCCATCTTCTTTCTTGACAATTTCATCCCTACCCAGTAAGTCAAATCCTCAATTCTGTCCCAAAAAACCAATCTTTTTTTACTTCTCCAAAAAATCCATCTTCTTGATAATTTCATCGACGCCCACCAAGCCAAATCCTCACATCTGTTGTAAAAATCCAATCTTTTTCATATCTCTGAAGTATTTTTCAAGTGTGTGTTACTCTAATTCAATTTCAGAAAAACTACAACACTGGACCTTTTTTCGGTTTCTTGCTTGATTATGGGAGAAGAACTATTTGAGAGGTTAAGTGTGCTGACAAGGTTCAGAGTTTGGGTATGGAGTTTAGGTAGATCCAATTAATAGAATGAAAACAAATCTTTGTTGTAGATATAAGTCAATTTTTTTAATACTTCTTTATGTGTTAGGCTAATGGTGAGTTGTATTGATAGTTTTTGGGTTTGGAGGAAATATAAGGGTCAAGTTGCATTAGGATAATGTTTTAGCTAGGGCTGGAGATTGGTGGTTTTTGAGGATTCTAGGCTATACTTTCTGGATTTTCCATTAGGGACTGATAGTTGTCTTGGCTCTGAAATTATGTTGTTTGGACTGAAGATGATGATTTAGGCTTCAATATATGTTGAATTGTGCTGTGACCAGACTAAAGGATTCTAAAAATAGGATTTTTACTGTGTTGATGTTTGTTGTGGGCTGTCATGGACATATGTTTGGCTATGAAGGTTGCATTAGGCTTTAATGTTTTAGGTTGAGCTGGAGGATTTTTAGGATTCGAGGCTATACTTTTAGGAATGCCGAATGGGGATAGATAGTTTTATTGCCTTTGTAATTGTGTTGTTTTTGCTGTAGAAGATGAAAGATTCAGATGTTTTTTGATCTAGAGAATGTGCTTTGAGGGTATATCGTTGTAGCTTAAAATGATCTGCATTACCTCTTGAGGAAATATATTATGTGGTATACTGTGATGAGACATGTTAAGGTTGGAAAACAAGTTATTACTGATGGGAGGAGAAATGGTTCCTTGAGGCTGCAGAGCAATAAGAGAAAGAGAGGTAGAGAGAGAGAGATACAGAGGTAGTAAGGTAGAGAGATAGAGAAGGAACAGAAGAGAGAAGAGAACAAAATGAGGAGAGGAATAGATTGAGATAGAACGAAAATTCCAATCGAATATTCACTGCATGGGTTCGCATTCTTTCTCTGTTTATATTGATTACAAAGTGATGCTGTGCCAAGTTGTTACACACGTGACTTTCAACCAACCCACATGCCTCTAACAAATTGAGATCATTACAAGTTTGTTCGTGAGTGTTCCCTAGTTGGTTCTTTGCGCTGGTTTGTAATCCGTTCTCTACGTGTGTCTTAGTTCTTCTTTCTGTGTTTTCTAATTCTTTTCTTGTCTTATGTTGTTTATGGTTTCATTCTTTCATATCTTAGGTTGCTATAAAGCACTTAAGCATGTTTTAATATTTATTGATGTATTAGGCTAATGTTAAGCTGTATTGATAGTTTTTGGGATTGGAGGATATATAAGGGTCAAGTTGCATTAGGATTTATTATATTTGGATAGGGCTGGAGGATGGTGGTTTTTTGAGGAGGCTATACTTTCTGGATTTTCGAGTGGGGACTTATAGTTTTCTTGGCTCTTAAATTATGTTGTTTGGACTGTATATGATGCTTTAGGCTTTGATATATGTTGAGTTGTGCTGTGACGAGACTAAAGGATTCTGAAAATAGAATTTTCGTTGTGGTGATATTTGTTGTGGGCTGTCTTGGACATACTATGAGGGTTGCATTAGGCTTTAATATTTTAGGTTGAGCTGGAGGATAGTGATATTTTCATGATTCGAGGCTAAACTCTTAGGATTGTCGAGTAGGATAGATAGTTTTATTGCCTTTGTAATTGTGTTGTTTTTGCTATAGAAGATGAAAGATTAAGATTTTTTTGATGTAGAGAATGTGCTCTGAGGGTATATCCTTTTGCCTCTTGAGGAAGTATGTTATGCAGGTTGGATGTGTTCAGTTTTGAGGGTGTTTAGGATTGTTGGACCTATTTCTTGTGCTATGAGCCTATGACACTTGGTGTCATCTGTTAGTTATGAGGTTTTAGGCACACAGGTTGATCTTGAATGGTTGAATTAACAGGAAATATTGTGTCAAGTCTTCTTTTTCTAATTTTTGAGCCAAAAATGAAAAAGGATAAAGTTTTTTTTACTGCCATTTTATATATTTGTTTTTAATCTCAGTTCTGATTCTATTCAAGTGCAGTTTGTACAGGCCCGAGCTCCTTTTTTTGTGTATGCTGGTGATCTGTTGGAGGTTATTGCACACACATTTCACCTTCCGAACCCCAAGTCCATGTGATGGTTTATTGCTGCAATTGTCATATTCATTGGCACGGATGAAGTAAAATCTGCCCTGCTTTATTATCCGCTACAGTTTGAAGAAGGCTTTTGTTTTAGATTTGAAGTTTGGTGCTTTGTGATGGACATAGAGTTGATAATATAGATCAATTAATTGGTGGGGGGACAGAGAAAGCAATAAAAAGGGCAGGTGAGGCGCCTTGCCAATGCGGCAAATGGGTGTACGTGATTGTGGTTCCCCAAGGGTTGTACGTGAGTTAGCCTTTTGGACCCTCACTAGACTGAATAAGGATGGGTCCTTGTTTTGGTCCGAAGGTGATGTATGCTGAAACAGCCATCTGCATTTGACTACGGTCTAACCAAAAAATAAACGAATAAGGCAACTTTCTTACATGCATTGCCAACGGGTTGAACTGGGACACACCATGTATGTATCTGGGACAATGGGATGAATTTATGAAATCCACCACAACAGAGGCAGCGTATGAGCTTAAATGTTAGATCCATATATGATTGAATGCTAAGCCGTCTGCACCCACAGGCCCATCATGTCTCATGTTGCATTTCCCTAGGTCCTGGTGAGTGAGCCTTTTGGATTCTCACTGGTGCCTCCAATTAATAGAGGACTATATTTCTACTGATAAACCAACAACTTGGTTGCTTCACTGAAAGTCGACGACAACGGTCTTTGGATGACTTTTTCAAAATATCCACTCTCACTCATAGCTGGGGCAGGCGATACCTAATTTCTGTCATATATTATACTTGAGCAGCTTGCTTTCATTGGACTTGATCCTCTTCCACCCCTCACACATTCTGAAGACAGAGAACTGGCTACATTTCAGTTGATCCGGTCTGATCATGTGCACTTCTATGGAATATCTGAGATTCTGAAAAGTTTTCAAAGAGCTATCACTGACTGCGTTCATCTTTACAAATCAAAATATAAAGGCTTGTTACATATTGTCCAATCATTAATTCAACTGTTCAGGGTGACATAGTGATGCTAAGGTGACTTGTCTATGATCGTAAGTGATGACAGGTCATGCTGATCCTACCTCAAGAAAAAAAAACAGAGTTTTTAACTCCGCCTGTGTTAGGATTCTACTATCCCACAGCCGGTCCCAAGCCCGGAAAAGGAGGAGGGTTTATTGTCTTTCATAAGTCAGTTCCTTCATAAATATGAACCTTACAAAACTTGTAATGTTAATTGTGGTTCTCTCTCTCTCTCTCTCTCTCTCTCTCTCTCTCTCTCTCTGTAGGGCACACATATCCCCATCCGACAAAGTCTCTCTTGTCAGCAAAAATCTGCTTCTTTCTCGTTTTCTGCTAAAATTTTCTTTTATCCTAAAATCTGTTCAAAAAGAGTAATATTTGTTTGCCTTCTGCTAATATACAATAATATCTGCTGCTCATGACGTGTTTCTGATTCCCTTTTTTACTGACTGCAAATCTGGTGTTGGGGTAGTTCAATTCTGGAAATAGGATTATTAGGGTTGTGTGAAGAAGCCCTTTATTCTTTTAATCATTGACAAAGTCAAATGAAATAGAATATGACATGATAATTCTCTGTCAAATATCAAGCAGTCCACATGAGAAGAATAATAACCCCAAAAATCATTAAGAAAAGCTCAGAACACACAGCATGTTGCTGTTATTCCCGTTGAATATTTAGAACATGCTCAGTAGAGGACTCATGAATAAGTCCTGTACATGCAAGGACATACATATAGTTTTTGATACACAAGAGTACAATCACACGCGGTAATACAAGTCATAATCTTGGAGGATCAGTATTGGAGTAATTAGGCGCAAAATATGCATACACCTATTCATGATTGATGACTTTATTGTTTGTTCCATGCTTTACACTTGTAGCACAGTATTTCTAACTAGTTGCTGTCACCTGATGCTTGCTTCAGTTTTGAGCATAATGTTAAGGAGCTCAGTTAGCCTTTGATTTCCTTGTGAATAGAATCTTCTGACATTTTGGCACTTTTGATATCCAGAAAATATTGAATCTCTAGCTAAGGTAGAACCCCTTTTGTATTGCCAAGGTAGAATCTCCTTTGTATTGCCAAGGTAGAATCTCCTTTGTATTGCCAAAGCACTTGTTGCACACTATTTCTAACTTCTGTCGTCTGATGCTTGCTTCATTTTAAGCGTAATGTTAAAGAATTTATGTCAGTTTTGAGCATGGTGTTAAGGAATTCGGCTGGCCTTTGGTCTCCTCATGAATAAGACTAGAATCTTCCACCATTCTGGCACTTGATATCGAGAAAAATAAATTGATAATTTCCCAAGAGAGCTGACCTTTGCATCAACCACCCACAGACTCTTTCTAACTATGTTTCCTTCTAATTTTGCATTTTGTGAACTAATATCATACGTAGGAGTATTTATGAATTATGAGGCTAATTCTCACACGGACAAGGAAATGAAATCAAGAAAAGCCAAACTTTAAGATTTTTTTTTTTTTTTTTTTTTTTTTTTTTTTTTTTTTGCATTGAAAAAGTGAGTGTTATTTGTTTAATTATGAGGGGAACTCTCTCCCTCCCTCTCTTTCTCTCTCTCTCTCTCTCTCTCTCTCTCTCACACACACACACACACACACACACACACATTGCACATTCCCATCTTGCAGAGTCTTCCACACGGATGATGTTGAATCTGCCATCATGCCTTACCATTTGATGTATTAGCGATAGTTCACTCCTGTATCTCAAATACTTTCTAAAGCTAGAACTCCAAGGCCTCAAGTAGGTTAACTGGTTTTACTGCTGTGTTTTCTTTTCTTGATTCCATTCATTCAAGTCATGGTGAATTTTTTCTCTGTTATTAAAAACCTGCTTCTTATCCAACATGTCTTTTCCTGTTCGGTAATAGCTTCATTAAAAGTTTCCCTGATTGCTTACATTGTGTTCTTTTGTGATTTGCAATTAAGTAGCTGCTTCCTTGAATGCAATAAAGAGGATGGCATTGAGATTTGAGGGCACATATGACACTCTTAAGGAGTGCAGTTATTTGCAAACCAGGGAGGAAAATGAGTATCTGTCCACAATATAGTGCTACTCGGACGTACATTAATGGAACAAATGGGACATCAAATAGAATTGCTTCAATGCTGTGTGTGTTCAATGACACTGCCAATCTGTTGACAAAGGGGTGGCAAAAGAAAGGGCATGGCCTCGTTTCTATGTCTGTTTAGAATACAAGTGCAGGGGTTAAGGCCTTCTTTTGATTTTTTTCTTACCGTTATACTGCATATTTTTAGACCTGCTGATAAATTTGAATTTCCTTATTTAAGAACCATGGAAAGATCTGCAAGTGCATTAGAATTTCTATTTTAAATTCATATACAAGGCTTTTCTATTATCACATTTTGACAAGACATCACTAACATTTCAGTATCTGCTGGAAGAGTATGCGGCGGTAGATCCTTTCTATGCTCTTGGGGTGCCTTGTCTTTGTTCTTTTCAAATAAGGCTCCTAGTTTGGTAGACTGTTGGGGTGATGATTTTGAGAAACCTCTGCATGAAGTTTTTGAAAAAGAGGTAAAAACAAGTCTGCAACCTAGGTTAACTGCTTGCACCTTTTACTGACTACTGTGGATTAAGTGGTCCTTGTCACCATTGATTTAAATAAGTTACTTTTGTCATCTCAGGTCCAGAAAATGAGGGTTGTCCAGGTACAAAATCTTTGGTTTGAGATCTTGAAGTCCCAAATAGAAAACAGGACCCTTGTTTTGTTTAAGATGACTTTCATATGATTTTGCTATTGTCCTCATTGCTCGTTGGAAAATTTATTCATCTACTATTCTGTTTGTTATTATATTGTACTTGCGCAGAATCTGCGCACTATGAAGTCTTCTAACTCGTGTATATTGTGTACACAAGTCCAGCTGAAACTGTTGTGTTCAATCTCGCCTTGATTGCTCTTCCATGATATGTTAGAGAAAGGTTGCAACAATTGACATAAAGCATTGCTTGGTCCTAAATCTCTTTGCCTCTTATTGTGGTTTTGCCTTCGTATATTTCAGGGGGTAACAAGTGAATCACATCCATCTAAACTTGTTTGCAGCTGGCGAAGTTGATACTTTAATTTTGACAAACTCACAGGGATTTGATTAATTCCGACTATCAACTCCTCTGACGTGTTCACTGACATTGTCTTTGGTTATATATGTCTTCGATATTGATCTTGATATTAGTTCTGTTTTCTGTGAGACAGGTTACTACATTTCTTAATGCAAGTTACTATCCTATCGAAGCTGGAAAAAGGTCTAAATTACAGCGTAGGCCAATTGGACTTGGGTCAAGGGTATGTGAGACATATTTGTGTTACTTCGCCTGGCATTTGATTCTAGGAGGTTGGCCTCTGTACATCCTTTTTCATCAGGATGTATCCTTGTTCAGATGGGTCTGTTCTTATACTTTGTCTTTCTATATCCTGAGCAGCTGTACAAGGTCATATTTAAGACGACATGCTACTATGCATTAAAAATCATCAATCATGTACCAGTTCAATTTTGAAAATGTGATCCAAGCCAAAGGAGAGTCTTAAAAATGTTGAGATCCAAAATACTACAGGATACTATCCCATCGGAACAGATGTATGTTGAACTTTATTTTTGATTCTACATCATGAAATGCTTTTGCATTGAATTTCTACTAGAAACAATATTTCATGTTCAGTGAATTCTTTGTGTACTCTTTCACCAGTTGTCTAACTTCATAGCTAATATGTTTCCGCAAATCTGCTCAATTTCACCAAAAGAAGTAGTTTGTAATCTCGTGATCATGTGTAATCATATAACAGATGGATGTTAGGCGTGATTAAACAGTTCAAAAGAAAAATAACTTTGCGAATCCAGTTAGTACAAATTGAATTAAGTTGCTAAATTATATATAGCATTTGTGTAGTTCTTTTCTTGTGCAAATTGATCCATTGTGTTTTAATTGGAACTCTTAGATAATTGGTGGAACACTGCTTCATGATGGGGCTATTGCAGAGATGAAGACTGGCGAAGAGAGAGCTTTGGCGTTCACATAAGTACATCTTAACTCTAACATCTCAACCAGATTTGTGGTAATATTTATTTCTACTTCCTGATCAGAAAGCACTCTTTGTACTATAGCTTCAGGACAATGAATGGAGCTTTGGGATGCTTGTTGAGTTATCTCTCAACCAGCCATTTGTGGCATCAATTTATTTCTGCTGTTTTTCAGCTTGAAGTTGCATCGATGAATTGGAACTGAAAACAGTAAGCAAGTTTGTCTGATATAGATGGTGCAAATTGATGTTTGCTAATTTTCCTTCGCGTGCCCCTTAACAATGGTTAATAGTGAATGATTACTTTGGTCAACCTGACGTAGAGTAGAGGGTACATGTTTTCCATTTTCTATGTCTTCCCGTTGGTCTAATCCTTATAAAATTTCCATGCTGATTTTCTGTAACATGTTATGAAAATTTGCTTCTTTCATCTGTTTGTGCAATGGCGGTTTTTGAATTAGTTTAGGCTTGTGAACTATTATTAGTTGTTTCTATTTGTAATTGGTTATAGAACGTTACTGCCTTCTTTGTGCTTGATGTATAGTAAAATATTTTTCAGACATTCACCTGCAAGCTGTTTATTCAAAATCAAGTATCTGTAATTTCACTGTATTTCTTTTATGTACAACCAATTTTTTCTTCAAACATTATTGGTTTTTTTTCACTTTTAGCCCGCGTTATAAACTATTTACATTACCCGAAAAAGTGTATAAAATTTGTATATAACATACAAAATGTGGGATATCTAGCCAGGAGAAGATATATAATTACAGCGGTGATTTAACATACACAAATACTTGAGTAAGTTGGACTGAGTTTCAAATTGTTCACTTTTGCATATGTTTAGGTCATATGTATCTTTTATGTTTTATACTTTATACTAGGTTATAGCTAGCCCGTCCTCATAATTAAAATATTTTGGTAGTTACATGCTAGGGAAGGGGCTTCAATACTTTTGTTTGAAACTGTAATTACATTTAAACGTCTATTACAAAGAGCAGCCTAACGGACGCACAGTTCATCCCATGTTCTTCAATAGTACTACTGAATCAGAAATCACTTGATCGTTGCTCATATTATTCCACACATTTCCACCAGATCCGAGGATTGATCAAGCAAATCTTAGTTCTATCTGTCATTCATCATTGCAAGGGAAAACATTCGTCAAATTCATCAATTATTGGGCGAATCATTCCTCCTGTTTACATAGATACCATTTATTGTTATTTAATGCTAGTTATACCTCCATTATTGCTCATGCTTTAAGAATATTTTACACCTATTGCTATCAACCCTTTACGGGATCTGTTCCCATCTCCACACGTTTTTAAGATTTGCATCTAGAGTTATTATCTTTAACTAGATTTAACCCATTGTTACATAAATTTAATAGGTTAGCCGAAAGTTACACTTTTTGGTCAAACAACCACTACTCTAAATAGACTAAGAAATTTCAGTTAAAAATATTGGAAGGCATACGAGTGACAGATACATGAAATTTCATGCAAGATAAGTGCTACTTCTAATGGCCAGAAAGGGTATTAGTTTTGTACAAATTAACAAGCTAGGGAGCTCTGGGGGAAGTGCCATGGAAATGTAAGATGACAAAATTAATCTTGAATGATAACAATGTTTTTGCTGAGCATTTTATCCGAAAACATAAACAAAGGAGAATGAGTGACAGAATATTAAATGAGTTGAAAAAGAAAAGCTCCAATGGTGTAAAACCAGAGTGAGTTAATCGCGAAGAAACAGGATTTAGATTATTTTCTAAAGAACTACTTTTTTGTTTGTTAGTAGAAACAAGGAAAAAGAGGAACATATCTTCAGTACTATCAATAAAGAGAACCGCACTTCTACTTCTCTTTAATGTTCTTGGGTGAGTGGGTCCATATATGAGAAAATTAGAAATGGTTCAGCTATCATCTCTTCTTCCTTATGTGTATGAAAATGATGATAAGGGTTTTATTATGGAAGATAATGATAAAATTTGGTGCACAAAATTTAGCTTGCAGTTTAGCTAATTTCAATCTTAACTAGGAGCGTAGTTGGTTACAAATTTGGCCAGCTTGTGTAGGTATGGTTAGTTTCACTTGTGAACAGTGTTTTAAAAGGCGTGAGCGCAAGGCGAGGCGTTTTATATATGTCTCAGTGAGGCGTAAGCCCCGAGGCACGGGGCGTAAACCCCATAAGTATTTAATTTTTAATATTTTATAAATAATATAATTACAGTAAATATTTATAAACAGGTAAAATTGCATAAAAATTAAATACATACATATATATATTATACGCTACTTAGAAGTACAAATAACTTGAGTAAAAAAAAATAAAGCTTTTTACATGGAGGAATAAAAAGGACGACTAACCTGCAATTTGAGCTTTGAACTAGCTGCTATGAAGGAGAATTTAGTTCTCTTTGTATTTGTAAAATGAATTGAATATTAGTTGCTTTTGGGAGATATTAGCGGATAAGATAAAGAATTGGGAAATACCATGAATTAGGGATTCAATCAATAAAAAAAGGTCTTGACTTTTAAATTTAATACAAATAAGTTCCTTTTTAAAACTTTTGAGTAATTACCAAGCTGAATTTTGAGAATTTGAGTATTATTATATGAAGGACTTATTCAACAAATTTTGTTTTAATTTGAAAAAGTTTCTAGGGCTTATGCCTCACTAAAAAAATGCGCCTCAAACGCCCGGGCATGCTGGGCGTACGCCTCTTGAGACTTTTACCCCACACCATCGCCTCAGGGCATTTTTGTGCGCCTCGCCCCAGGGCTCACCCAGGGGCTCGCCCCAAAAACGCTTTTTAAAACACTGCTCGTGAAGTAGAGCATTTAGATTACTCTCAGGTACTCAACTTCATTATAAATACATGTAATTCTCTTGTAGATAGCATAAGGGATACGATCCTATTTTTAGTTACACTCTTGTCTCCGGTCGTGCCTCTTATATTCTGTTTTTTATATATTCTAGTATTTATGGACGTGCGTTTAAATGGTTTAAATATTTATTTATATGAAGAAACGACAAAATTTAATTAATGATAGAAATTTTATGTTGAATAATGCAACAATTATCTAAATGTCAAAAAATATTATTACATTAACATAATACGTGAATTCAAAATGAAAGGAAATCATCATATTGTATACAAATGATCAATTTATTCATGTTAGTTAGATAATTATGTATTATAGTTTAAAAGTATTTAATGCGATCGTATCTTACCGAACACTTATTTGCAGATGATGTCGTTTGTGTATTTTTCTTTCTAATACTTTAGTTGTTCTGCCATAACCAGAACTCTTGTTGTAAGTGCAACATATAGTTGTTTGTGCAAGAAAATATATTGCAATAAATGTACTCCAATATTTAAGATATTTTTTCTTGTGCTTTATTTATTATAATTGCAAAACACAAAACATACTGAAAATTATTTTCACACAAATTTAAAAGGATATTCTTTAGTTTCGGAAGACGAAAGTTGAATTCGGGGATAAACATATACTTAGAAGCATATTGACCAGTATCATAATTTTGGCATGTATGACGTTATTATCAGAACTTCTATATACCATATGTGTGCTATTACAAAAGCTATTCGGTGGATCTAAGTTTTTCAGTAGCATGACAGACATATTTTTCTTTAAAATCAACCTATATACAATGGAAGATCAATTTTAACTTAGTCAATTATATATACATACGTAAGAAATAATGAGCTTGACAACAAACCTATATGGTAGAAAGCCATTTGGTATTAAAGTATTTACGTATTCTTCTTGGGAGTAATTATTGGTATCATCTTCTGCTAAATCAAAAAATAAAATATTTTTTTTTACCACGAAACTTTGCAATCAACCTTTTATTTAGTTGATCAACATATTCATTTCTGCTAGCTAAGATAACTCTTTGATATCTATCATGTAATTTGCACAAATTAGATTTTAATCTAATAATGGAAATATTTTCCTTATTAAATGCATTAATATTACCATTGGGATTGATAACCATGTGTTTAGAAGAACCAAATCTTCTTTAATTGGATGCTCTTCTTTGTTTTCGACACGAAGCAATAAGTCACTGAATGCTAGATCTGTTCTTACTTTTATATTGTCACAACCCAAAAATTCTAACATATCGTGATGGCGCCTATCTCAATACTAGGCAAGCTGACAACATCAATAACCCATGATTTCCTTTAAGTTTGAAAACATGATGTTTAAATATAATACCAAAAATCTCGTAAATCCTAATACAAACACTCCCAAAACCTGGTGTCACTGAGTGCATGAGCATTTATACATAACAAGTCTAGGAAACCCGATCTATAATAATCTGAGGCCAACTATAATATACAAAAGGATAGGGAAGGAGAGACAAGGTCTGCGAAATATAGCAGCTACCTCTGAATCCCCGGAAAATCAACTGTGTGAAAGAATTAATACCCACTGTGTCCGGGATCATCTGGATCTGCACACGAAGTGCAGGGTGTAGTATGAGTACAACCAACTTAGCAAGTAACAATAATAAATAAGGAACTGAAAGTATTGACGAGCTTCTCAGCTAAGTCCAAATACATTACGTTCCAACATAAAAGGGTAGGCATGTTCTCAAGTTCAACATTTAAAATTTCACAGTAATTTCATATCAAATTTGATTGAAACAAAAAATAATATTTTTTCGAAATTTCCAAAATAGTGATATATGACAGCCGAAATGCAGCATATAATGAAATCAATGCATCCTCTCAGAGTAACAGTCACTCAGTCCTCCCATTCACTCCAACCTCACAATCACTCTTTCCTCACAGTCACTCATTCCTCACAGTCACTCAGCACTCGGCACTCGCACTCTCACTGGGGGTGTGTACAGACTCCGGAAGACTTCGGCAACCCCGGCATCGCCAACGTCATAGTTTTTGCGTGACAGTCCAGAATAGCATGACATGGAGACAACCAATTCATACCCAGGATTACATCAAAATCAATCATACTGAGCAATAAGAGATCAACTCTAGTCTCCAGTCCCCCAATGGTTACCACACAAGACCGATATACACGGTCCATAATAATAGTATCGCCCACCGGCGTAGATACACAAACAGGTAAAACTAAGGACTCACGGGACATATCCAGATAATAAGTAAAGTGCGATGATACATACGAATGAGTAGAACCAAGGTCCAATAATATAGAAGCTTCCATGTGGCACACTGAGACAATAATTGTGATCACTACATCTAAGGCAACGACATCTGTCCTGGTAGGAAAAGCATAGAATTGGGCCTGACCGCCACCTGATCGGCCTCCCCCTCTTAGGCGACCCATAGCTGACTGACCCCTACCCTAAGCTGGCTGGGCGGGTGGTGAAGTAACTGGTTCTGAAGTCGTAGTCTGACTCATTTACTACACTGGACCTCCCGAGCGACGAGGACACTGTCTCCACATATGCCTAAATTCCCCGCACTCAAAGCAGCTCCCTGATACTAGTGGTGGTGTCGACTGAATCGGGCCCTGAGAACCAGAATAACTGTTAGAAGCACCCGGTGAAAACG